CCAGAGGAAGACCCAGGACATGTTGGAGGGACTATGTTTCTCAGCTGGCCTGGGAACACCTTGGGATTCCCCCAGAGGAGCTGGCCCAAGTGGCTGGAGAGAGGGAAGTCTGTCTGGGTCTCTCTGTTAGGCTGCTGGCCCCGAGACCTGATCCCAGATAGAAAGAAAACGAACCAACGAACGCATGAACGAAAACCATCAAAGAATTAATATGAAGAAACACTATGTGGGACTAAAGACAGCATGTATGTAAAGGAGCTAGCAAGTATGATTTTAATTCTTTTTCAGCAAATAAACTGAAATGAGAAAATAATCTTCCTGTTCTGTTTGGACCAAAAATCAGTCAGTTTGTTGGTTAAACTTTACTTGTTAGTTTGAAGCAGCTAAATGTGTGTTTGCATGTACATCATGAAAGTTTACCTCAGACTAAATGTTTCATTGTAAAATGACTGCACATTTGGCTGCTGTGAACTAATGTACGTCTCATCTGGTCTTCAGGCGTCTAACTTTTTAAAGATAAAATATTGCTTACTAACAGAGAGGTACTATAAAACACCTGAGCTCTGAATAAACGGTACCTGGATCATGAACATGGTGACGACTCCTGATGCTGTGCTCAGGTAGTTTCCTGCGAACCAGTCCCTCAGTTTCACCACACAGCCCTGAAACACAACAYTAGGATTCATTCAGGTCACCTTCAGAGAGTAATGTTGGAGAAAAGACACAATGATCAGGCTGGAGACATGATTAAAATCATGTATCATTTAAATGGATGAAATGATCTGGGATCTTTGAGACATTTAGTACTTTAGAACAAGTTCAGTGTTTTCTGTGTTTGTGTTTACTGTTCAGTTCATTTAGCATCATTTTATTTTTAATAGTTTTGGTTTAGTTATGTTGCTTCTTTTTATTTGACAGTTCTTGTTTGTTTAGATCCCTGTGATTGACTCTTACACACTATACTCGAGATTATCTCCAGTGACCTGAGGCCTGTTGCACAAAAGTCAGATTTCTAAATTCAGGAAATGAGCTGTAAGCCGAGGTTGAAGTAGCCTTCAACTTGTAAACAGCYRTAATCAGTTGCACGAACACCAAGCCRCGCTYAATAGCTGGGTTTSAGTCACGTGGTTTCGAAGGCGGAGCGATCTCCGCTGGAGGGCAGGGGGTAAAATGTCTRTRGAGGAAACTACTGTAGAGAGTYTWTATTGTATGGATTTAGATCCTATTTCAAGATATACTGTATAACAACAATTTGTTCACAAATAAGTCAGMCATGACTCATATGATGAAGATGAATGAGTTTTCSACAGAACYTAAMKATTTGCTGAGGSTGTCKGTACCACACACGTCTTACATCACCAAGTGCCAAATAACCAGCAAAAGTTTATCTGATGAATAATTCCACACGATTCTGCCCAACCCTTTGACAACATATGATAACACTGATTATTATACACAAAGATGAAAAATGTAGAAACCTCACAGAACGACAACGTAAAAAAGTGGATTTTAAACCATCTGCAGTCAGGATGAGGAGCAGGATGCCGGCGTCTGCAGGCAGCGGCCACTACATCAAAGGTATGTTAGCTGCTAACTTGTTTTAGATGTTATGTTTATAATGATCGTTTATTTAATAGTGAGTTTTAAGTTACTGGTGGTTTTATGTGGACCTCATCTGGACTTTAGGCTGCCCTAGTTCTGTGTCATTAGGTGCTGGAAGTTTGTGGACGTTAGTCGCTACTGCTAGCATTATCTTAACATATAAAACAATATCAGAAAAAACACTCACCCAGGCAAAAAACAAACAATAATCATCGTGGAGCTGTTTGGTACCGAGGTTGTGGATCCACCCACTGAATAAAAAGTTCTAACCTCCCGTTGTTTACGTGCTTTCATCAGCTGTTCGGTGTAGTTAGCACACAGTTAGCGCCACAC